GGCGCTGAGAAGTCGACGTCGATCTTTCCTGTGGGGATGAAGAGAGCTGATCCGCTGGAAATATCTAAGGGCAAAACGAGAAAACCAAGGATGTGGGATTGGAAAGTCAAGCGAGGTGGAGTGTGGCCATCTTAAACAATATCAATTACTCTAACGCTCACGTGCCCGCGACACAGGCTGGGGAGGGTAGGAACGTGGTTTGTTTTAGCCACTGTGCCGTCGGCCCCCGGATTGAGTGTATGCCCATTTTTAATGGCTATCGCTACTTGCTCACCCTTCTCTGCCTGTTCTCCCTCGTTCTTAGCCGGCCTCTTCCGCTTCTCAGCTACTGACACCCCCCGCCATCGGCTTTCTTTTGAAAGAGCCTGGAATCAGGATGTTCCTATGACATTCCCGCAGGGTGCTGTATGATTCATCTTCCCCTTGCATATTCATCATACGATCCCCGACATGAACACGCAGTCACAAACACCTGTCTTGCCTACTAGTGGAGCATATAAGAGGTTTGAGGGACCGAGGCTTTGTCATCGCGGTTCTAGCCTAAGGAGGTGCCGTCCTTTACTTCAACGAGTTGGCCTAGGAGAATCACTGGCTTGGGCCCGAGGACCAAGATTACGGTCGGCGACAGATCTGAATGAGTGACAAGACATGTGTCACTGGTGAGCCTCAAGTTCCATTTGATGGCAATCTAACGCAGTACCGGCTCCACGTCCAAGACGTATGTCAGGAGTAGGCACCGTCAAATCGGCTTTTGCGGTAATCGTACTAATTTTCCGGAATAAACCATGATAGTGATTGGATGAGCTCGCGAGGCAAAAATACAGAAAAGAATGAAAGCATTGATCGAAGGACAAATGCGAACCCAATGCAATCGGCTTTTTCCCCTTTTCGAAGCATACCGTCACCTCCCTCTGTCGATATCAGCTCATACAACAGGTATCCCTGGGATGTCTCCGACCGCCAAAAGAGGATTGAATGACGTTGAGTTACACGTCTGACGCTCTACGCCTTCAGTAGGTGCATCACGTGCGGGAAAACACGTCTCTAACTCGACTCGCTCATCGGCAGAGTCGCGTGACTCTCCATGATGGCAATTTCCGTGCAGATTCGTATTGCCTCGCCAGAGTTGCATCTGTACAGTTGAGATTGAGCACCAGGATGGACTTCAATAGCGGAGTTGCGGAGGAGGTGCTTTTCCTCCAGCGCAGTCATGTAGAAATGGCATGCCAGTGGAGACGTCGAGCTGACTGATGTAACCAAGGTACTTCGTGGTAGCTAGTGAGGCATGCTGACGCATGTTTCTTGATTTCATCAAGTTATCGAGAAGGACAACAGCTTGTGCTTTCTCCGGATTCCATCCATCCTGGCTTGGGTTGCCTGCGCCAACGTTATCACTCTTTTGTTTCCCTGTAGAGTCGTCCAAGGACAGCCAATCACGGAACCGTGCGGACGTGAAAGTATTCACCATGTCGCGCACGTGATCTGGTGGGAGAAAGTCAGAGTTGCAGGCACCTAAGCAGCACATGGCTACCAACAAGCCAGGGTATGCATCCATGATACGTAACGCGGGTGTATGGATGAATGGCGAATAAGAATGGATATGGGTGCAGGTTAACAAAAATTCGCGGATATTCTGGGGTGAGAAGTACAAATTGAAGCCGGCATATTCGTCGATCGTCGGGGAACCTGGAGGAGTAAGGATGCTGAGAATCCGGTTGAAAAGAAGTGTAAAGGGGTCTCGGATGGATGACGGCACACTCCATGTCAAATAGAAAAGTGATTCAAGGTGGTCCGGGGGATCAGGAGAGGTGCCAGGAGAGCCTAGTGAACTCTGAACACCAGCAATGGGAACTAAGTCGGTTAGGTTCAGCGTGTGTGCAGGAGAGCTGAGAGAAAACTGAGTATGATCTTCGCAGGCCCTTTGCGCACCAGGCCGGTAGATCTGAGCCCTGTGAAGGCTTGATCGTTGTTTCGGGTTGAGCTCGCCATTCGAGAACTTCTCATCTTGACCAGGTGCCATGGGGCAGTTTTGCATCTTGCCACCTCGTTCAGAGGCGCCAATGGAAGATTTTGTCAAATCCTTTTCGTCATTAGTGCTGCCATCGCAAAGCCTCGTCAAGCTACTGGACTGAGTGTCGTACACCTGGAGCAGGCAAGGACGCTGGTCCATGTGCTGGTACGGACCGCGAGGCTTCCGCTGCTGAGGCTGGAACGGCGGCATGTCGGATTGGGAGTCTGGCGTGCTGGGAGTCGCGGAAGTGCGAGTGTGGGGGTGACTGCGGTTCATCTGATCCATGGCGGCGGAGGTCTGGTGGCGGCGGGCAAAGAACCGAAGTCGTGTTTATACCAGTGGTGATGTACTGTGAAGCGTCCATGCTATCCGCGGCAGATCTATTGGTCTGTCGTCGCGATGAAGACACGCAGAGTAACTAAGACGGATTGTCAGGCCTATACGAAATCTGTCGAGCGTTTTGTGTAAATATATCGTAGGAAAATGCTAGTCAAGTCGTTGATTGAGTTGAAGTTTTTGCCGAAGATGGAGGGAGAGATTCGGGTGCAGTGATGTACTATCGAGAAGTTGATGAGCATAAGCTTTCCCACTGATGATGTGAGGCTCGGGATAATACCGTGTTGAATATTGTCTTGAGGAGGGTCGAGTAAGAAAACTAGGCACCGATCCTTTTGTCCCTCGCGCTTGAAGCGAGCAAAAGAAAAAGAAGCCTCCACTCGAAAACCCGAAAATTGAAAACTGAAAACTACTGAGTATCTGACGCTGCCGAGAGAGGAATCACGAGAAGGGGGTGCGCATGGAGGGAAAGGGAGATCAATCTCACCAAGGTGGTTTCGAGGATGTGCCTCGTGGTGATTGTCAAGAATGGCCCCTTCGCGCCCGCATACGAGGCGGAGATGTCAAAAGGGCAAGAAGCGCAGGGCGTGGTCACTTCTGAAAGGAGCAATGCTACAGAGACCTAGTTGGAATAGCAGAGTAGCACAGCTGAATGAACAAAGCCTGAAGTCTAACTTCGTTCGTCTCTGTTGAAGGCCTAGCCACTCCATATCTCTGGTCGAATCCCACGCGGAAGAAAGACGAAGCGGTCAGAGTTGTTGCGAGCGGCACAGATCGGCAAGGCAGGGATACAAGAGTTGTTCCAGGTAGGTGACCGTGCGGTGCTCCATGGCCGACAAAAAGCGCACATGTTCTCATGAGAGTCCTGTTAGACGAAGTCCCACGCAGGCCGCTCGCACTGCTCAGCGGATGGCAGGGACGGCGTACTGGAGCAGGGGTGGACGAGTACCTGACTGTATCGACCAGCCACCTTTGGTTTGTCGCCATGCGAGGTTAGCGTGTGGGGAATGCCCACCATGCGCAAGAGGTGAGATGAATCCGGGGGGTGTCGAATTATCCCATACACATCCAGGGTGTGGACGCGAGAAGGGGTGAGGGGCGTGCGCCCGTCCCTCTGATCAGCCTGCTTGCTGCAGGGGGTGTGAACTTGAACGGCTGGTGTCGGTATATAAGTCCGCCCATCAACCAGGGGCCCATTCTGAAGCGCGAATTACCTTCTAGATGGCGCCGATCCCTGTCGCGCGGATCATTGGCCATTACGGCCGCATATCAAAGTCGGCGAGCTCACTGAGGTGACAAGCAGAGAGCAGGACTGGAGTCGATGGTGCATCGATACAGCATGTAGCGCCGGCTATCCTGTAATTCCCTCGCGCCGCCGGATGAGCTTCCCCGGAGCATGGACTGTCCTCCAGCCAGTTGGTCGTCCGCCGGTTTTTGACGATCAGCGAGACGCTGATGCTCCTGTAGCGGCCGCCGCTTCAAAGTGGATAGCAGCTGATATTGCATTACCATGCTCGCAGCTCAACCGGAAAGGCCTTCCCATGCTGTGTAACTCAGGCAGCCTCAACCATTGGTCAACTTGGCCCAATCAGATATGTTCACACGAAGTTGAACGTAGGGAAACTGTCCAGAACCAATGAAACCATCGGTTCTGTCGCTGTGCTACGCCCTGTGGCTTTTCCCCATACTCACTTGTATCTCATTTCTGGATGCGATCTCTGGCCCCCTCCATTAGGATGCATTGAATTGAGATTGAAGTTCAAAATTTTGAAAATGAAATGGACCAACCTCGATACCCGATTCATGTTAGTCATCTTGCATGGCGCGCGTTCTCGAGGTAGCCGATGTTTGAATCGGATCTTCATTTCTTCTGCACTACTTTCCTCTTCCATAAATTCATCCTATATACGTCTTGGGAAACTGGTCGACGTTCCCCCGAAGCCATCACTTTGACAACGTTTTTCCAGTGGAAACGATTTCGGCTTTGTGTTGCAAGGCCTATTCCACCTTTTCAGCGCCTGACTTTAACGTCGTCATGCATTCTTCATCAGCAACGACTCCAATCATATCACGACCTCAAAGCCCCACGCGGTTGACCTCGACGCCGAGTCAAGCTATGGAAGTCGGTCTTGTTAGTATTGGAGAGCAGGTCAAAGAATCTACCTCAGGTGGACTCACCACAGGCCTGCCCATGCTTTGTCAAGATCTGCACTTACCAGAATCTCAACTCTCCCGGGACGGATTGATTACTCCGACTGGCATCAACACCGCGGCTATGACCTCGCTTAGCTCTCAAGAGTCCGACTTTGATTCTGACATTTGTCACTATTATGTTAATCTAGAGAGAGCCGCCAATATTGCTTTATCTCGTATTTTCGGGGTCTATCTCAAGCGGCTCGAGAACCCCGCTCGTGTCGTTGAGGCGTTCTCACATTTCATAGACCGGTGCGTCAATATTCTGCAAGATGAGGATGTCTTCTCGACGATTGACTGGGATTACAACGGCGATTCCAACTACGATGTCGAAGAAGGTCGCAGCTGCCCGTTTAGAAAACGCAACCCCCGGAAATTCAATGCTCGGGATCTTGATTCCTGTGCCAACAGATCTTACAAGAACATGACGGATTTTATGTAGGTACTCAATACTTTGCAGTGTTCCCTCACGCCACTATTTGTGACCTAGGCCTGACTAGGTACGACTCCATGGGAGACATATTGTCGCGCAGCACGGAATCCAGGTTTGTACTTATTGTGGGCAGCCACGAACGGACAAAGACCATCCACCTGAAGTTTGCCTTCACAGCCGGCAGTCGAAACCCGATGCTGGCCCTCAAGACCCTGAGAATGGCGTGAACATCCGCAAAGTTGCCCTTACCAGCGGCAACATGATCCAAACCTGGCACCAATTGTGGGGTCTACTTTTTCCTGATGACGAGGAGATACCATCGCCAAGTATGTGACACTATCACTATCACGTATAACACTGCTGACAATATCGCAATGGCTTTCGTTCCTCTGATCGAACACCACGATATCGCCTTTAGTGGATGCAATGATTTCTTTCAAAGACTACCGAAGACGTCATGAATCTCTTTCAGCGAGGTTCTGGTTTCGAAGCACATGCCCTTCGTGCGATCATAGACAAAAGGACGAAAGCTCTGCTCCAAGGCTCCAAGTATTTCGACTCTGAACGTTGTAAGATGGAGGAGAGCAGTGATATGGTCCAGATCTCAACCGTCTGAAAGGACAAGTCCATGATTCCGATGTTCGATAGTCACAATAGGGGCTTGCACATTGAATGTAAAGAACGGTTGTCTATTGGAAGTAGAAAATGGGCACGAAGCTCGTCCTGGAATAGAGGGTGCGAGCGAGTGTGGACCTCGATGATTGTGTGATTTTGGTCACGTGATGTGCTGTGAGGCCATGGATAGTTGAAGCCATTACGACATCCGGTGATGGACAACCAAGTTGGCGCCGCATTGGATGATGTTACAATCACTCGAAGAACCGCTTCAAAGGGTAGAGATAGGATACCTAGTAGTACATCAACCGGGTCAAGATCTTCTTCTTCAGTACGTCCTTCGCCAGGCTGCGTACAGTAATCTCTAAAGTCTGCTAAGAATCAAATGAAGTTTGACCGTGAACGAACGATTGCGTCTAAAGTAGAGTAAGCCCCTCCATCAATCATTGTTCAGAATGTCAGTTTCTGCCCAATTCCACTCCTCGTTAACTGACATCTCCAGACCTACCGGAGCCAGCCGAGGGTGGGTTGGATCCATTCAAACCTCTCGCCTCCTGTCGAGAGCCGCTCGCAAGGCGTCAAGAGTGGTTCGCTCGTTCGCTTGACAGTTTGTTCTCTTTATTATGAAGGGTCGTGGACTTGAAAAGGTCGTGCAGCATAACTGACCGTGAACTTCGAACTTGCGAGTACAGTCTGGATCTCTTTTGAAACCGGTCTGGCCGAACGACATGACCACGTCATACTACTTTCACGACCTGGTCACTACCCGTGGGTCTCATTCACTCATGTTGCCTTTCACCATTGACTTCGCTTTCAGGGCCTCAAAGGCTGATCGGTCCCGACAGCCGTAACACCACTCGGCATGCTCCTGAAACATTCCCACCATGCACACATCGACTAAAATTCAATCTAGGCAGAAGAAATGTTCTACATTCTCATATGACCTCCTTTTCAACTTGGAAGATTGATGATGTAGGTTCATTACGGCGAATCTACCCTTCTCGGGACAGACGACGAAGAAAACCACCTAGTGCAAAAAAACATGTCCAAGGTGCGGCATCAGAATGCAGAGCCCCACACGTAAGACTGATTTCCGAATTCTCAGGTTAGAACGGAACAAGACGGGCATGCCCATCGATAGCTTCAGATCCCCAAAACGATGCTCGCCAGAGTTCACAGACCTCCCAAGGATGCGGCGCCAGAGAGGAAATGGCATTCAGACGAGGGACTACAGCCAACGAGGCCGACTCCCCGACCGCGTTGCTACGCTTCGCGGATCGTGCCTAACGGCGGCGAGGATTCTAGCGTTGATCGCGAGTTCCTCTATCAAGGTCGTCATCGTGGGGTTGGTTTGGTTGTTGATATCTTGGCAAGCATTTTAACTCAGTACACTCGCAGGCTCTTATAGCTCTCGAGATGAGGCTGTCGGGGAGACTCATGATCAGACTTTTCGCCCATCACGGTTGAAGCCACAGCGTTGCGAACCTCGATGGGAAGCAGTCAGTAGTACAGTCATCTTTCTCTCATGGCAAGCTAAGAAAGCATCTCGATTCAAGTGCTGGGTGGGCACTAAACTGTTGTATTAAAACTGTATTCTTGTATTTGTGACTCACAAGAATTAAGTTTCGTCGATAACAAGGTACACAGAGGCCGACTCCCACGGACTGAAGGAGAGAGACGCATCCCGCCGCAACTTCGAGTTCCGTCCTGCCGAGTTTCACAATGCCGAGGTGACGGTTAGACAACCTGAGACTCGTCCCGTCAGTCAAGATCAATTAGTAGCCAATGTTACGGGCTAGACCCGATTAGTCCTCGGCCCGGATACTGCCACGGTTCACCGCGCTGCTTCCGCTGAGTTCCCACTTGAGCGCTTTTCCTCCGCGGAACCCCCGCTCCAGAAACCTGTACTCCTTGGCATAGATTCTCTATACTGAAACCACCCTTACGTGGCCTCACGAGGGTTGGACTATCCGCAGCCGAGGTGAAGGGCATTTACGCCGGGCTTGTCCTGGCTGAGAATCAATGCATTAAAGTGGACAATACTTAGGAATCGAACAACGAAACGAACCTCAAGCTCAATCACGAATAGTGGCATTCCCTGAGAGGTCTACATCGGACGCTATTGCAGCAGAAGCACCATGATTTATTCCCCGCCTCTCAGCAACCTTCAGCCAGCGAAGCCTTGCAACGGCTTGCCAGCAAATGCTCTGTGTCGGCGCGAACGTGGAGGCATGGTATTTATACCTTCTTGGAGCTGCTGCGACATCGTCTACCCGCTTTGCTCGAACGTCTGCTTACGTTCATCTATTTAGCGTACTCTGCGGTGGCTTTCTTGCACGATACAGGGCCGGCCTTCGAGCACATCTGGATTGAACGTCTCGGGGATACAGCAAGATACCGACGAGGTACCTACTCCGCTATCGGAATTCCACGCTGACGGCTGCGTAGGATAGTCATTGAAGACGATGACCTCGAGAACAACGAAGTGTGGACATCCGTTTCACGGCATTGGTACTCCATAGCTAGCGACAAGGCTCGACCCGAGGGCCGCCTGTATCATCCTCTTGCCATTCTGGCCCGTCCAAACGCTTTGTTGTAACTATTCTACTACAAAAGTTCTCTCTGTGTCCAGGTCCCATTCCGGTCTGCGCGAGGATCGATCATGACTCTATTTGACCAACGCCTGGATGGCACTCCCACGCAGGAACAAGCAATCGACGCCATGTTCGTTCGTGCCCACGGCATTTGTTCAGCGGGAATCACACGAATCACCTCTCCTCGTCTGTTAGCGAGTTCATCGATAACTTGGACAATCACACGGCACGGCACACTAGCCGTTGGCTTGAAAGTGGCTATTTGATATCTATCGCCTGAGGCCTGCACGTTACCCTCTCATTCCTTTACCACATGTCTCAATACCCTGCGGCGATAGAACCTGTTGAGGGGAAGATGCCTTAGAAGCTTACTAAAGGTAACCCTCGTCCCTTACCGAACGACTTCGCGCAGGGGGGCCTCCTTTGGGTTGAAAAGCACTATACTGACGATTGGTTCACGGCTACACAATTGGTTGACGACGAGAAGTATTCCGAGGTCTGTTCACCGATGGACGAGCTCGAAATCCGCTGTATTTGACTTGGCTGCCGGCTTGCAGCATCAGGCAAGTGGTTGACTTGCTTGTTTGTTGGTTTTGCTTCTATCCAACGCGACATTCTCGCTCGATGTGTTGACGTTCAGTTAAACGGAATGTGTGCCTGGCCCCCCCCCCCCCCACCCCACCGCACACATCTGCCGCCAGAAGAGACTCTCTCTGCTGACTTGCATGGGGCATTGCGGATCTAGGAGCGCGGCTGTCTCATTGTCGACCAAAATCGTCACTATTGCCAAAAGTATTTACTAGAGGTTCGAGATCTCAGACATATTCAATCTTGGTAACCGTCGTTCCCAGACCTCAAGCTGATGACGCACAATGACTGGCTCTCATCGTCTGCTGAAAGATTGCTCGTCCCGTACAAGACCATATCGATAGGGTGAGAAGTTATGCTGCCTTATAGCTTATTTCAAACCCAAGCCTGTGGACCGCAAAGACTCGATAACTTCATGGTACGGAAGGGGTTCAAGCCCATATTCGCATCGGGAATCTTGGCGGGTTTACCGCTTGGAAGCTGGTGGCTGATGAGGTTTTGCCGACGTCCGGCTACTCCACATCCGCGCAGTCTGGACGATATTTCGCCATGATAAGCGCTATGCTACGCTGCCAGCGTGAACGGCGACAAAAAGGCCTCTCAGTTGGACATGGCTGTCGCAAGTGGCGCTTTTCCCCGCTCCCGAGACGTTTGACTCGGAGCTCTCTCTTATTTCGACTACCAGTGATGACCCAAGTCCAAGTGGCTAACGATGAGAGAGAGGTGAAAGATATGATTTGGCTAAAAGCCGCGTTCCGATACAATGGTGCTTGGTACGCAATTGCGAAGCCACTGGCTGGTGTACACAACCATACTCAACCACATACGCCAGTGCAAAACAGACAGGCCTTGGGGGTGAAAAATGGACCCGAGACAGCCATGGGCGGCATGGCCCCCGTGTCGTACCGCCTGCCCTGTCGTCATCCCTGGTCTGTAACAGTTGACAAGGATCTTCACCTTACGGCCTTCAGTACCTAGCAGATCGCGCCCTAGCGCATCCTGGAATTGCTTCCATGTACACGCCCTTCACCCTTGTCCCTACGCACACAGGCGGATGTGCGTCGAGGCTTCCGCTGCAGCTCTTCCATAATCCATGACATAGGTTTTGGACCCGAATTGATGACGAGTCGCATCTAGTACCGTCAATTGGTGCCCTAGGCGCATGGGTTCACGCTTCTCTCATCTTCCAATTCATGTTGTAAAGTTTGTCACTTCCTTAACGTTGCTTTTGTCACCGCTCCTCCATGTTTCTTTACCTGTATCACTCCGTCTGGTAATTACGCTTCGACGTTGTTTTGTCACAGTGTAGCCCGGCCTCGACTCATCCACGTACGTAACGTCGGCTCTCTCCAAGCCATGTGCCACGCCGAAAACTATATATCCTCGTGGTGGTGTTGCTATCTGTCTTACTCGCTGCCTTGCCACTTTTTTTTCCTCCTTTTTGCTAGACTAGTAGTCTTCTTTGTAGGACCATGTCAAACTTTTCGTTTCCGGATCGCGATCCAGTTAACGCAAACATGCAGCTAGCGCATGGCACGCTTGTCCATAACGGGCGATCTCTCGACGGCCAGGAATACCAGCGAGGTGATCCGGTGGCCATCGTCGATGCCATTGATATTCGAGACCCTGGATTTCCCATCTACGAGTCCTCAATGGGACGAAAGGTGAGCACTCTACCTTTGAAAGGCATGGAGATCCAGAACTTCAGCTGACCACTCTTCAATAGCCGTTCCACATTCCCACCACATCTTTCGCAACGAAGTCCAACACTCGCATCGTTGCTGGAGCACCGAAAGCCCGACCATACGGAAGCATCGGCGAGCAGCACATGGACGGTATAATCGCCGACGCCAATCTGCAGGTCAACTTTGTTTCCATGCCGCAGAACGAGAGCAGCAACTACGTGCCTGAACAGCGTGACCAGCAAAGGCAGAGTGCCAATGCTCAAGAACCTCTGTGGGCTACGCGAGGCACCAATGCAGATAATGGCAATGCTTTGGATACCTTGCAGATGCCGCCACAGCACGTTCCGGAAATGTGGCAACCCCAGTTGCCAATACCCCATCGCCTTGCGGAGGAGCAAGGCAGCTCTCACAGCCACAACGGATCTGTGGGCTATCGTCCTCAGCAACTGGAAGCTATTCACATGCAAAATGACCATCGCGCTGGCTACTTGCCGTCTCGGATTCCTTCTTCAAACGATTTTCAGTCCATTGAAGATGTTCAAATGCATCCACGGGGCCCGGATCAGTCGAACAGACTCCCGATGCCCGGGCTCTCTTCCCCTACGCCTGAAGAGTTCCACGATATTCAGAGCAACCACCCAACATCCCGACCATCATATCCCCTCCCTTCAAGCTCTTATAGCCAGGTACAGGAAGGCAGCTTGCCCTCGACTTGGCAAAGTCAACAGTCAAGACACAGCTCGCGTTCTGACGATTCTCACCCTTCGATTACACGCGGAACGCCAGTCATGGCTTGCCGAGAACCAGCTCAACCCGTTCATACGTTTACGCCGAGTGGAATCATCGATTCTTTCCGACAGAGCACACAAGCTCACATCAGCTCCTTGGAGGAACATTGCGAGCAATTGCAGCAGATCCAGGCCAGCGATGACCAACTTCGTCAAGCGAACGAGTCGCTTCAAGCTGCTCGACGGAACAACGAGGAGTCTTTGCAGCTTCTCGGCCTGCTCCAGCCTATCACCGGTATCCCTTTGAAAGGCACAGAGAAGAGGCTTCAGTCAATCGCTGATCAGATCGTTGATGCAATCAAGAGTCTGCTTCCCAACTGCAGCGATGGTTCTGATAAGACGATCAAACAGCTAGGCCAAAAAGTACAAAACCTCAAGGAGTTCATCGAGTACGTTGAGGGAGTTCACCCCGAGGTGGTCAAGCGCCCGCAGGACCCCGCGGCAATATCTACGGACAAGAGCCAGACGGTCCCAGCCACGACTGCGAACCGAGTCCCATCGGCTCCCGCGTCCGTTTCTTCTCACATTGCGGATGAGTCTGACTCCTGTCACTGGGTAGATGACCAGGCTACACCTCCGCCGGACCGATCCGCAGCAATGGCCTTGAACCGAGACCGTTCCCACATTTTCCGGGACATGACCGCTGCCCATGGCCGTCGTCTTGAGCCGCGAATCAACACTGCTCCAGAATGTGCTACCACCAGCTACAGTCAGCCGTTATCTTGGAAGCATTCGCCGCTGGCCACCCATTCTGCGCCTGCCGAGCCTCCACGCGCCGCTGATCACGGAATCTTTCAACAGTGTCCTACGACACAGATCCAGCAGACAATGTCCATCACTGATTTCGGGGCCCCAATGCGGGATCGAACCATGCAGGTCTGCCCGCCTCCCACCTCAGTCGTTCCACCTCTGAACTATACGACGCAACAAGAAAGCAACTTCTACCGGCGACCACCGCCACAAAACTGCCTGTACCCAACAACCGCAGCCGAAATGGCCCAGGCTACCTACGCTCCGCGGTCGTCAGTGGATTACCCGCCGGCCCCGGGCCCGGCGCAGAGCAACTACTACCAGGAAATGCGGTCTGGTCTCCCGGACCGGCGAACGGTCCGGCAGGAGCGTCCTGCTCCCTACTCTCTCAACTATAGGGATCAAAGGCGACGAAGAGAAAGCCAGTGATGGGCATTTCCGACTCCACAGAGAATATTTCCCACACGTATGTAGATTCGTTCAGGATTGGCTGTCGTTGATTTCCCTACTCGACTGTGTTGAGAGTTCCTTTTTTTTCTGCATTTGCTATCCTGGTATCATGGTCTGCTCGGATGGGAGTTAGTACGAAGGCGTCAGGAAGGGTCCAAGCAACAAAGGAGCAGCTCAGATGTTTATACAGCGCAGGAAGTACATGTCGAATGAGGGCAGATTTCAGTAATTCATCTCTTTGACCCTAACAGCAGTTGGCCCCTGTGAGCTTCTTCCCTGTGTCGTACTCCTATTAACACCTGGTTCTAGCTAGCGAGCATCTATTATCATGCATCTATTTTTGGCGAGATGTTCTCGGAGCGAACTAGCGGCTAGAAAGTACGGAGATCGAAAAGAAACATCCGGAATAATATATAAATCCTCATTTCTAGCTGTTAAGGATATTCCAAAAACCCATTCTCTATTTTTCATTGTACGATCCCCGACATGAATATCCGAAGTGGCGCCGTCTTCCACCTCGGCGGACTGAGTAGAAATACCGGCCCATGGCCGAAAACCAATGTCACGGTCGTCGACAGGCCTCAATGAGTGATCAGATGTGTGTGATCCCGGAGTCTCGGGTTTCGTTCGACACCAGTGTATCGCAGTACCAACTACACGTCCAGAATGCAGTTCAAAAGTAAACGATGTCAATTTGGCTTTGATGCATCAGGTTGTCATGATACCTTTGCGCAACAACCATGATGGTTAGTCAGAATGGGTCCACGTGGAAAGAAGGCAGAAAGCACGAAAAATGAGTCAAATGACAAATGCCAACTAGACACAATCAGTGTATTTGCTTTTCACAGCTTACCGCTACCGCTCGTCGTGTCGACATTCAATTGAACAGAATGTGTGTTTGACCATCCACCACCGGCGCCACCAGAAGAAGCTCTCTCTGCTGACTTGCATGGAACATTGCGGATTTAGAGGCGCTACCGTTTCATGCTCGGCCGAAATTGTCACTACCAGCGATATCCATGAGAAATCTTCTCAGACACTCTTTATCTTGGTAATCGTCGTTTCCAAGCCCAGCCAAACTGTTGACGCATGAAGGCCGGCTTTGATCGTTGTCTGCAAGGTTGTTCGTCCCGTACGAGACAGGTATCGTCCAAACTACCCTTCCGTGTTTTTTTGCAGACATATTCACGTAGTCGAACCATTCCTGAGTGGCATCTTGACCATGAGCCTGAGGGTGTGATAAGTGACTAGCACCAGTCGGGTTACCTCGGCGAATGGAGCACTTCTGGAAGTGACGCTTGAGAATGTCACTTCGCGAGAAAGTGTCGCGACACAGCACACACATGTAGGGGCGGTCGCCCGTGTCTATTCGCAATCCGCGTCAGTAAAGGATTGAGCTGCGTGAGTTAGCTTAGGGTTATGACTTACGGCGCAGAAGGTGACGCTTCAAGTGCTTCGCGTGCAAGTAGGTCTTGGTGCAGTGAGGGCAAGGGAACTTGCCATCGGCATCCTTGACCGGGATCACAGTGCTCTTGGTCTTGCCGGCGCCAGCGGGAGTAGCGGCAGGGCGGCCAGGAGCGCTGGGGAGAATGCCACGGCGACCCTGAGAGCCGACGACGTGCGTAGGCTGATCAGCCTCGCCCATGCTACCGGGCAAGACACCACCAGCGGGCATGGGAACGCGTCCAGACGCGGGGGCAGGCACGATGGGCTGAAGTGGAATAATAATATTTGTGGTCTGGTGCAGCATAACGCGAAGCTGTTGCTGCAGTTGCATGCTGTCCCGAGAGCACGGCGTGTTGGGAGCAGTACGAGTTCTGAGAGAATTGCCATCGTGTATTTGATTCGCGACTGGGAATGTTTGCGACAGTTGAGGCGATGGAATCTGGTAAGGTGGCAGGCGGCGACCGGTAGGAGGATGAGGTCGCGTGTACGTCTTCGATTTGGTGCTGAGAAGCGTCCATGCTATCCACGGCAGGGCAGTTGGCCTGTTTTCGATACAAAAGTTGCACAAAGCAGCCAAGGCGGCTTGCAACGCCTATTCAAAATTCGTCGGGGGTCTTGTGTTAGTTTCTGGGACCGTAACAGCCAGGTCGGTGATCCAGGCAAAATGTCACTGAGGACGAAAAGAGAGGAACTCGAGTGCGATGATGTAGACTCGAAGAGTTATTAAGGCAAGCTTTCCGTCAGGCAAATGACGAACAATAGGTGAGAGAATCAGGCTTAGATGAACCTCATTAAACGTTGTCCTGGGGGGAATCAGAATGGGAACATGCGCGCCGATGTTCCCATTTTCACCATTTTTCCCCGTTTATCTTGAAGCTGGAAAAGAAAAAGCAAACCCTGAAAAACTGAGAATCGAAAACTGCCAGGTCTCTGACGAATCCTAAAGAGGGATCAGAAGAAAGGATTGTGCGTGGTAGGGAAGGGAATCTTGACCTTGCTAGGTTGGTGTCGAGGATGTGCCTCGTCGGACCTGTCAGGCCATGGCCCTCGGCGCTCGCCTACGAGGCAGAGGAAGCGAGAAGAGAAGAAAGACAAGGCAACGTGCCTTCCGAGAGAAGTCAATCGACGGCGATCTAGTCAGAACAACGCAGCAATACAGCAAGCCCGTGTTATTCGAGTCTGTCCACTCCATATCCCTGATCGAACTCCACTCGGAAGCGGAATGAGGCGGTCAGAGGCGCTGGGGGCAGCACAGCTTGGCAAGGGGAAGATGCGAGAGCGATAGGCGACCGGGAGAGATGAGTGAAGTGCTCCATTGCCGACGAAAAGCGCATATGCTCACACTCTCGCACTGCTCGGCGGATGGCAGGAAACGGCGTACCAAAGCAGGGGTGGACGAGTATCCGACCATACTGTGTAACCACCAGCCACCCTGGTTCGTCGCCATACGACGCTAGCGTATGTGGCATACCCACCACGACCAAGATGAGATGGGCCTGGGGGTGTGTTGCGGCATCCCTGAGGATTTGGGGCGTGAACGCGGATGGTGGTGGTGGCGTGTGCACTTCCTTGTCAGCCCGTTGGTGGAGGGCTTGAGGACACGGACACGGCGGGGTCAGTCTACACTCCACTAATCCACTAGGAGCACGAGTTACCTTTCAGATAGCGCTAGTCACTGGCGCGCGGATCATAGGCCATTTCGACGACACCCCAAAGTTGGCGAGCGCAGTCCTCCAGTAAGTTGGCGGTCTGCCGGTTGTGACGATCAATAAGACTCGAACGGTCCTGCAGGGGCCGCTGCTTCAGACCGGGGAGAAGCTGGCATTGCCTTGGAATGAGCTCACGCTGTCCGCAAATACAAACATGCGCCTTTACGTGCGAAGCGTCGAACTGCTATGATGAAGCACCCCGTACATGGATCAAGCTATATTTCACCCGTGTGGGATGGCCTAGACGAAGTCAAGCCGGCGAGTACAAGTGACCGCGCCACTACTTCCATGCCCGGCGGCCCCTTTTTGCAAAACTCTCTGCTTTTTCCGATCCCTTGCCCAGCCCGCTGATCCCATTCCACATCGTGGGCTGTCCTCAAGACTGCAGTAATGTTTGTGGCTATTCTGGCCCTGTGTGTTTCGATCCCAACTCTCATGTGGGCTCTATTCAAGATCATTGTTACGATGGACAAATATGTGAGCTCATTTCAGGTCCATTCTTCTGCAACCCCCCCTAGACCCAGACTCGGGATTGACCTTGCTGATGTGTTCTCAGATTGATTTGGTTATTCGGACCGCTTGCAGGGTCGTTCTCGGAAGCGAGGTGCTGTGGCTGATGATGCACCTGGTGGCTCGGTATCCATCGTACTTGCGATTGATTCGTCCGTTTGCTCTCATTAGCGACGCGCTGGTCTCCTACCTACTTTCATCGGGACCATATCGGTTCTCAAGGCTCAGACACTTCTGCCTCGTGCTCTATATTTACTACACAGTGTGTCTATTGGCAACATTTCTTGCCAGCGTATCAAGCTTGCCCTTGGTATGTGCACAGGAGTCCTCCTTGAACGCCCGCTGAGAAAGACTAGGCCGTGCTTTCTGGTGCCGAGACCCTCTCATGGGTAATTCTCGAAACCTACTTATGCCAACGCGACCACACGATTTGATGAACCTTTCAACTCTATTGCGGGGTCTCGAAGGTCATGCGGGCTTTGGTCTCGAGATCCGAATTCCAACTTGTTTCCTCATCGCCAAAAAGCACGGCATTGGAGTAGCACTAGTATGCCGACAGGCCTATGGACATGCTAGTCCAAGCGTATGTGAGAAGTAAGATCCTTGGAAGCTTCTATGCCACTCTGGGCTGCTTTGCTGTTTCTGAGTAGCATCCTATCTGTATGTATCACATCTGGTCTCCTTCAAGTTGAGCGGGACGGGCTCGACTCGATCACATCGTAGAATTGATCGCTAGGATCGACAAATCCAGAAGGGTGCTTCGCTTCGGCAATAGATGGTAGTTCGAGGGGGACGCCTGTGTAGTCGCCGTGCTTGTCATCCGTGCCGAGCTTTTTCCGAGTCAATTCTTCTTCTTTGTCCTACCAGGCAACGGAATTCGTCGTCACACCCTCTCATAAGGCTGCGATTTATTGGATGACAGTCTTGGATACGGATCACTGCCCCAACAGAATGGGGGATTGAATGTGTTCCGCGATCCCAAGTTCGGCGTGCAGCCTTTGCCTCCGGTAGCAAACTCAAAAATGTCATCGAACATAATGCTCAACCGCCGGCCCTGTTGGTATCGCACATAGACGTCAGGCTTCAATTCGTTTGCGTTCTTGCTAGCCATTTCCACTTCGTTTTGTGGTGAGCCGACTGTCGGTGAAAAGCCATGAGTCGAGGAGTCATGGGAGCCGGCTTGCTGGTGAATTGGCCGGGGATCCCCTCGCCCGTCCCAATCGCCGCCACGCCCATCTCGTCGAATGCCCAAAGGATCATCTCTACTCTGCCTAGAACCTCCATCTCTATAGTCGGAGTTGATTCGAGTGAGACACTGATCTATGCTTTTCAGGTATATGACATAATTGGACGCCAGGCTGAAGTAAGGTGTAGCCTTTGTCAATGCCTGGTAAGTAGTGGTGGTCGGCTGCCAGTTGTCGGACATCGGTCTCGAATTCCGCCTTCCGATTTCCTGCTCACTGAACATGTGATTCTGAGTATCCATATGGGGATAGTGCGCTGCGTATATCTCGACAAAGGCTGCTTGCCTGATGGCGAATAAGACCAACGACGAATAGGGCAGTCTGTCCCGACATAACGTGATAAGGTCGATGATTTCCCTACTAGCCTTGAAGATCTGCTCTGCGCTTCGCTTCCAATGGCCATCGGGAGCAGCGCCGGGGTCAAATCCGAGCTCCGCCATCGGGCCCATCGGCCTGGCGCAGTCGATGGCGATAAAGGGTATATATTCGCGATGCAGCACGATTCTGCAGAGAGCAGCCAGCATATGAAATGACACGTATATGCTGTTAGAGTGTCTCCAGAAGTTCGAGGTGGACCATGTGAAGCATTCCGGAAGTCCTATGTAGAAGGTGTCTATCTCCTAACTGAGCTGGTAGAAGGTCGACTTTTCGTTCCATGGCGGCGTACCTTCTTCCTTTTCAGTATCGCGTCCGCCCAAAAGGCTGTATCTGGAGATGTCGCCCCAGATTTTAATCAGGTCGACGAATCGGCCGAGAACGCTATCTTCGAATTCTTCCTCGATTCCTTGTCCCACAGGCCGCGGTGTTCGAATGAGAATGCCGCCACCCAAGTTGAAGGCTTCGTCACTGCACGGCAGCTCCTTTGGAAGGTCATGAGCTTGAACAGCGGGTACTCGGCCAGATGCGCAACATACAAGCTGACAGAGGATGGAGCAACTGAACATAGTGCGGCGCCTCGACTCCTGGTCTTGCCAACAACGCGAGGGCACTTGTGCAGATCCGAGTTTCATAATTTGAGCCATCCGCGTGGCGAGATCAACGTACATCCATGCAGCCAGGCCGCCATTCGGCCGACTCCATTTATACAAGCCAAGCATGAGAAAAGCTTGGACTCGAACGACAGTAGCCGATGTTATGGCTGATTCTACTTCTCCCAGTGCCTTTGTAAGAGCATTTGCGAAGTACTCTGATGCTACTGATGGCTGCAGCCTGGGTAGAGCACCGCAAAACCTTGGGCCCGCGATCTTGTGGTGTGTAATGAGTGCGACATGTTCGATCAAGTCCGGATGAAATCTTGCAGTGAGAGCCAGAATGCCCAATAGGGTCAGATTCGATTCGTTTGACGGCTGCTCGTTGTCTTTGTCGTGAATGATGCCCTTGAGAGTTGGGAGATGCAGAAACGAGAGTTCGGTGGCGAAGTGCAATTGATAGAGGTCAAAGAGTTGGTGCCATACGTCAACAGTGAGATAGGGTGCCGAAACAATACTCTGATCAAACTCAGTAACTGTGATCTCATCGAGAGTGTCGTGTCTTCGAGACTCCTCGCTCGCTCCCGCTTGTTGCCGACTTCACTGTCTCCTTCTTGTATAGTGAGAGGCTCTGATGTTGTTGAGTTGCGAAACTCACACTCGTGTCCAGCCCCGATGTCAGGTGCACCAGTGTCGTCGTTGGGAAGGAACGATATGTGAAGTGAGCCAGTCGTCGGGGTCTGATTCATTGGGTGGCAAAACCATGATGCCAATGTGGGAAGGCTTGGTGACGGTTTGACTCTGTCAGGAATCGGAGAAGACGCATACAACTGGCCGCAATGACCTTGACGGGAGACTCGGTGCATATTCGATTATTGACGGTCTCTCCACCTATAGAAGCCGTGCTGCGTCAGAATGATGATGCTTTGGACCAATCGACTTGGTCTGAAAAGGGCAAGACACTCGGCGTTGAACGGCGATGTTCTTTTTGAAGCAAAGCTTGACGAGGGGTAGCATTTGGCACTGATCGTTGGCCTACGGCGGGTAGTCGCTTCAGATGCGTTGCGAACCACTCCACGCTGAGTTCCTGAACGAAGTCGAAACTGACAGACAGCCAAGCCTCAATGGCCGTGTGTCGATGGAGAGCACCAGAAGAAGCTTCAGCGATGGTGACTGAAGCTGAGACGTCTAGATCGATAAATTATGCTTTGTCGAAGAGAAGTACTTCGCTGAGAAGGAATGAACTGAGGGCACGACGAGGAAATTAGCAACAAGACGAGACGGGCGCTTATGTTTTTACAAGATAGTGACCGGGAAGGGTGGACTTGTCTGGCTGCCGTGCCCCGGTCCTTGATGGGATGTGTGCCCGCGTGCTTCTCTCTCACGTCGTACTCACGGACCGAGAACCAGCTGTCACAGTGACGGTGAAGTTTAATGTGTAAGACTTCAGAGAGCACCACATCGTAGGCTATTCCGATCAACGGCAACGGGCCAGCTAGGGGGCCATTGCAAAGGCGGAGAGAAGACAATGCTCTCTCTCCAGCCAGCTCATCAAAGTAATATTCCTTCACTCGACGAAATACCAACTATACTGCTTCCAATCCTGAACGTCTTCTCTGTGAACACCGAAGGGACGGTTCAAAACATACGGGACTGAATACCCGTCGTGGTCGTGCAGTCCACAACTACATACTTCGATGCGTCTCTTGCACCCGCCCCCAACCGCATACAGACAGTCGGCAGCAAATGAGAGCGTTCTTTCTTTGGCCAGCCTACGTCGATTGAGAGTCTCTGCTGGAATAAAGGGTTGCAATGCTTGTCCTGTGACCTATGGCGTGCCTTGTTCATCGAGTGAACGAGGAGACGGGACCAGACGCGGATGGCCAGGAGGATTTCTACAAGCGTGCCTGTGGGATGCGGCCAGAATAGGAAGATGGGTGGATGGATCCGGGCCGGCGAGAGAAGATATCAGGGCGCTGTCTATAGCTGCGAGGGACCCTGACCCTTGTACGGTACGACGAGCCAAGTCAGAGAAAGACGACATTGATCTCACAGCGTGCTGGTCGTTCGCACACTCAGAGAGAAGCCCTCCATGGACGGAA